AAATGACCATTATTATTTCTAATGCTGATTAGAAATACACAAAATCTAATTACATCCCTGTCAGCTTTGGTAGTGAAGCTGATCATTTGTGAGTAATAAGCGCAACATGATATTTATGTAGCATGGATAATGCGCTAATGGGTGAGTGGTTTTGCTTTTGTTGTTTGCAAACATATAAGATTGCCTGGTGTTGGCTACTACACTCGACCTCCTGTTGGAGCTTTCAGTTCAGCAGCATCCTATAATGCTTTTTCCACCCTAAAACAAATTAGTGTGGTAGAAAAAGATCAATATTACTTAGAAGTGAGTTTTTTTCATGTCGTTATCAGTCTCTCTAATATTCATTTGAAGGGGGTTAAATTGCCTTATGCTAAAAGCAGCATCCTGCCTTTTCTTAGGATGGTTAGTCTGTGCTATTGTGTGTTTATTAATGTTTAATGTGAGAGTGACATTTCCAGTTTTGATCCCATTTTTGAAAAACATCTTTTTGAGCTACTTAGCGAGGCTACAACCTCAAAACAGTCACAGAATACTGGAGCCTAGCAGCATACCTAGATGAAATACAATAACGTCTTTCATAGATGTAGCTAGATATGTTGAAGTATAAATAACTGTGTGTTCAAGGTGGAATGGCTGAATTCATGCACTCCAAATGGGTTCTGGACTATTTGGATTCATCTTCTGTGAGTAATCAGGTTACAGTGGGTGCTTGCAAATAGATTCTCTGATTTCCAAAAAGCTTTTCTTTTTTCCTTTTGAGCACGTAATTTGTCATTTTCAACTTATCTTCTTTGTGAAGGCCCTTTTGAATCAGTGCTACTGGTCACACCAGAGTATCTACTGTTTGTGTTATTCCCCGTTGCTACTTACAAAACTTCAAATGAGCACATCTCTAGCTAGTACTGCGCATAATAATTACTGTGCATAATTATGATGCACTCTTGAATGTCCCCCCTTGTCAGAACAACTTTTGATGCCCAGTAAAAAAAGGAAAACAATTTAACTACCTACACGCCATAGGACTGACTATAGAAGTAATAACTAACAGGTTGATTTGTTTGTGTCTGCAAAAGAAAACTACTGCAACTGAGTGTAACCTGATACTGTTGAATTGCAACATCTTATCAACTGATGTTAACTGCTTCAAAATACATTTGCCTAATGTGTATGTGTGTGTTTTTTTCTTTGCCACGGTAAATCAAAAAAGACCTTTGTAAATTATTCAGTGCCATTTGGTTAAAAGTGAATCCCCAAAGATTTGATCCTTGCACACTGCCTCCTTTGAGCTTATTTTTGAGAAACAACAGAAGCTCTGTGCAGTAGTGATGTTTGATTTCAGCTTTGATGGTGCAACAGTCTGGTGAAATTGCAAATAAATACACTCAGACCCTGAAATGAAATGTAAATGTTGCCTGACTGTATCAAAGCACATATGAGTTTATTTTTTCTTACAGTCAAACATCTCACATATGCAGCGCTGTAATGATTGTTTTAACCATAGCTCGTCAGCAACTCCATTGGGTCCCTATATTTATACGGGAATTAAGTGGGATCAACTAAGGTGATTATGTACTGTTGACTTCAAGTTGAATTTTAAATACATCTGTGCTGTTTTTGGAGGAGTTTGGTTTTGTTATTCTACACAACTATAGAACTTTTCTTCTTTTAAAG